CCCCAAAACCCCAAAACCCCAAAACCCCATAAGGTTTAAATTCAAATTTTTTTGAGACTGAGTTGAGATGTAAATTCAATTTTTAATTCTAATCTCTTATAATAAATAATGAATATTGACTCTCAAGAATATTATCACTATTTCTAATTTTGAATAATTAAGGCAAGAGAACTTTTGATAATATCCATATCATTTTAAAGTCCCTGAACCTATTAATCGATTCCTTCTTTAAATTATTAGAAATCACTCTTACTAACAAGTTATTCCTTCATCAAATTAGAAAAATGCTTATCTAAGTTTTCATTAGAACTAGATTGCTTTGAGTTCTGTTAGAAAACTTCAACAATTTTATTATGGCTTTAACTTTAAAGTGAATGTAGATTTTGAATAATTTCTGCCTTCGATTTAGCTGCTGTAGTTCTTATCGTATATTTAAGGTCCTTAATAAATCCTTGCCATTCCCCAGCTTCATTAGTCTAACTGTTAATTGGTCTTCTAACAACAATAAAGTTTGGAAAGTATTCTTTATTAGTGTGATCCTCAGCTGTGAATAATTACTCTCTCTCAACAATCATATGAGCTTTGACCTTGTATGATTCAGCAACAAGTTTCTACATGACTCTTTCGTATGATTCTGAGATAACAGCTATGATGAAGTTCATAAAGACGATATTTAATGTCATTACAGCTATTAACCATATGATCCAAGTAAAGATGACTAATACATCTCCTTAGCTATGGAAATCATCTAATTGAAAATCTCCGGAAGAAATTCTGAATGCCATTAGAAAATAAGCTAATTTATTTACACCATTATACTCATCAATCTATTCAGCTTTGAAGAGAACTAAGAATATCATTCCAAATTGCAAGATCATAATTAAAAAGAAACTGAGGAAATATTTAAGATCTTTGAAAACACCAGCCATCATTTAAACCAGGAAACTGAAGCCATCATATATTCTCAAAAAGAAAAATAGCTTCATAAAAGAAAGTATGATTACCAGAATTTTAATCAAGATAAGGTTATCTTGGTTTTCAGTTATAAAATCAAGAATGCTAAAAATTGTGAATGCAGCGATATGAGTAAAATCAAAATAGTTCCATCCATCTTAAAAGTAAGCGCCTCTTTGAATATTTAACTGCTTCAACTCATAAATTAAGAAGTACATAATTACCATACCACATATAGTTTTTGTTGTAATTTTCACCCATATATTAGGCTATAAAACTTCATTTTCTAAGTCTCCTGAATTTTATTTAGTAATATCATTCAAGTTTTTCATCGAGTATGTTTGATAAAAAATATCGAAAATGAATGAAGCCATAAAAATCAGATAAATATAGAATCTATCCTGATAAAATTATTTTGTATACTAATTCCACTTGTAGTGGATAATACTCTGGATTATTTTATTTTCAAAGTACTCTGGCTTATCTGTCTCACTTAAAACTTTCATCAATTCTGTGGGATTTTTTTGCAAGGTAATCGGCAAGTTGATCAAATGATATTCAATTGATGCCATAGATTCAGCATCACTCTTAAGTTCAGTTAACTTTCCTAGGAATAATTCATCATATTTTTAGTGAACTTCTTTAGGATTATTTAGGGTTATTCCAACAACTAATTCTTCTTCATCATTATGTTGACTTGGGAACTTTGAGTCAAGGATTTGATAATTAGGTAAATTACTTTCAAAGTACTCTTGCAAGTCTATTTATTGTTTAATTAGCTCATTCAAATTCTTGTCTATTAGTTTGTTAAACATAATGTGATCTTGATATTTGATTGTCATCGAAAGCAATAAGTTAATGATTTTTTACTATCGAGCTTTAATTGAAAAATCTAAAGGGGATTCTCCATTAAGCATCTTCTAACAGATCAAGATAGGTATGGATTATTTTTCTTTAAGTGAAAGCTATTTTACTATAGTCTCTAGAGCAATTAAGTTATTTTCAAAAAGTCCAAAGCATGTTCCATATCCTGCAATAAACTTTAAGTATTTATTAATGTTTGATTGAAGCTCTTTGACTTTTTATTCATTATTCTTTTCTAATATAGATCGATAATCTTTTATCGATTAGTCTGTAACTTCTAAATCAAAATAACTAACCATTTATTCTTCTCCTTCGACAAAAAATTTGACTGTACTTGAAAAAAGTCGAATTGCTTATAGATATCTAGAGCTATGCAAGTGTTCTTTTTGGATGCATATTCAAATTAAAATGAAGGAAATACTGGTTGAATTAGCAATTTTTCATTAAACATATCTTCGAATGATTTTCCTCTCATGGTATAAATTTCAGATTCATCATCAATATCTTATCTTTTTATTATTTAGTAAGAATGAGTATTTATGCCATTTTAATAGCTTTCATGTATTTCTAAATTCTAAGGCATTTAGAATTAAATTACTCTCTCGATTTTTTTATTTTTGAAGAATAATTTGTTTGTTTCCTAACTTGAATTTATTTGAAGATAGTTATTGTTTATAAAAATAGATGCATTTTTAATTTCGCTCTCTTGTATTTTAATTCTTCTTTTACTTTCAAGACTATAAACCTTAACTTCAGTTTATGATTAAATTATTATTATGCCTAGATCATCATCTAAAACTGCCTTTATAGGACCTTAGTCTTAACTTTAAACTTTGTCAAGCAAATCAATTGATGTAAACTAAAGCGTTTTTATATCAAAGTAGAGAATTTTAGTAGATGAAACAATATCTAGTACATATTATTTTTCATTAAATCTATTTATCATTACCTAAAAAAATCCCTCTGAGCTATAAGTAATACCATTTTTAGCTTTGAAGTCATTCCATTATACTTGCCGATTTCTATTCAGTTATATGTAAGGAAAGTTATATTTTTCTAGAGTATCATCTGAATTAATAGAATCAACAGTTACATAACTCTGTTATATGTCATTAAAAATTTACTTTATAATCTCAAAAAAGTTTTCATCATGAAAAACTTCTTGTTTAGTTTCAAGATAGTAATCACAGGTTTGACTTTAACCTTTATGTACTTCTTTCATAACACCAGTCTTAAAGTCTAAGACATTAATGAACATTCTTCTTTTTGTTTTAAGTATTATAAAGTTGTTGATTATTGAGACATAATCTTGAATTAGTACTGGCTAATTTTAATAGATAACAGGAATTATATCGTGAAATTGGAAGTAGTTTGTATTAAAATCGATAAAATGAATTAATTCCATTCCATTATCAGCTTTATAATAAAGCCTGAAATTAATGGTGTCTATTTCTAGAGTGTCATAGTAATTATCTATTATTTGCTAGATTTTATCAATTAACTAAAAGGTTCTTGCATCAAAGACTAAAATTGTAATATCTGAATCAGTTTTATCAAAAAAGACGAGAATGAATTTATTTTATGTAGTGGCAATTTTAATCATTAATTTAATTCCTAATTATGCAAGTTAACAGACTTTTTGTAGATCTAAATTTTTAGTATCGTCAATCTTATAAAGATTAAGATCATCGTCAATAAGATAGTCATATATTCCAGAATATTAGATTACGAAAAATTTTTTATCTAATATTTTAGTTTATTCAAGAGATCTCTTGTCAATAAATTATGTTTTTCTGGAATCATAACTTAGAATATAGTGATTTTTTAGCTATCTATTATCTACACTACAATCTTCACTGTAATATTGATAAAAACTTTAGGTTTCATCAAAAAGAAATTATTTATTTGAGATTCCTGATATTTATTACTGATATTAATCCTCGTAAATATATGTGATTTCTATTTTAATTTTATTATCTTAATTCAATTAGAAAATGGATTAATCTACGAGTCGATAGAGAATAATATTATATCCAAAATGAACCAAGACGTTGAATTCATCGAATATATTAACAGAGAAGAGTGTATCATCCTTATTGAATTTGAACTCAATCAAATGATTATCATTTTCTTATGAAAAATCATCTAGTTTTTAAAGGTAAACACTTTCATCTAGTTTGTAGAAAAGATAATCGACATTATTGAATAGCTGGTGGAATATTTAGTCATTTGGCTGGTTTTGTTAAAATTAAATCGTTTTGACCTTTTATAATGACTCAAGATCAATGAAATCAAGAAATCTGTCTCTCTGATATTATTTGAAGTGTGCAAGAATCAAGTTTCTATGAGGAAGTATAATATATTGAACTAATGTTACTTCTGACTCATTTTCCTTTTAAACATTTAATGGAATTTTTTTGATTCTACTCTCAATTTTTGAGTAATCTATTTCTTTATACTTATCAAATATCCATAAATAATCACCTTGAATGGTGTTATCACTTGTTTTACTAAGCTATTATTACTAGTCATTCATTTAATCCTCAAGCAGAGGTTGTTTGTACTCAGAGTTATTATTATCGAAAATCATATCTTTTGCAAAAGTTGAAAAATTATATTACATAGGATTTATACAAGTATAATAAACTGCTTTTTAAAATTGATCAGAAAATTAGTTTAAGAAAAAATACACATTTATTATCAGTTGATTAATGCGTAATATTTCAAAGTCATTTTGATTTAAAAAAGTATCAATCGGGGTTTTGGGGTTTTGGGGTTTTGGGG